TGGAAATATGGAACAGACTGATGAATCTCAGAGGGAAGGGAGGAGGGTGGGGCAGGAAGGGATTAACAAAAGAATTTATATGCATATATGCATTACCTATGAACACAGACAATAGGGTGGTGAAGGCTTGGGGTGGGTTGGGAACTGGGTGGAAGAGGGTATTGGGGGGGGGGAAGTGTGCATCTTTAATACTCTCAACAATAATTTTAAAAATTAAAAATAAAGTAAAATAACTAAGGGAGGATTGACATCTTTATGATACTTAGTTCCCTAACTAATTACAAGGGATATCTTTACCTTTGTTCAGGTATACCTTTGAGTCTTTTAGAAGTGTTTTAAAGTTTTCCTCATGCTTCTTGCTAAATTTATTCCTCAATATTTTATCTTTTTTGTGGCTATAGAAAGTAGTATTTTCTTTAACATTAAATCCCCTATTATTTTTACATATGAATGCTATTCATTTCTATTCATGAAGTTTATATCTTTCTTCTTTACTGATTGTGTTTACGGTTTGACTTTAGTAGGAACATGAGATAATTTTTCTTCTTCTATTTTTACACATTTATTTAATTTATCTTGCCTAATTGCATTAGCTTATGCCTTTAGTGCAATGTTAAATGGTATGGAGATAGTAGACATCCATCCTTGTCTTGTTTTTGACCGTAGAGGAATTAATCTAATTTGATCTTTTTTTTTCTCATTAATTAACATGCTGACTTAGGACTAGGGTCTATATTTATTATGTCAAGAAAGTATCCATCAATTCCTATTTTCTTGAGTGTTCATTTTTACTAAAAGTATTTTCAGTCTTAGAGATAAAACATCATTTTCTATTTAAGCCTATCAGTATGATGTGTTGTATTAATGAATTCCCTAATAATGAACTATCCTTTCCTGGAACAAATCTCACTTGTTCATTCAAAACATGTTCTCAGTATGGTGTAGGACTTTCTTTACTAACATTTGATTTAGAACTTTTGCCTCATTATTTTTGTGTGATACTCTAATAATCTCTAATTATTCTGTTTTTGTACTGTCTTTATCAGGCTTAGCTATTAATGTTATGTTACTGTTATGTAAGCTAAGGAAGTTTTCTTTATTTTTAATGCTTTGGACCAATTTTAGAGCATTAATTATTTTTATTTTATATTTATTTATTAATAAAACATATTTTATTATTTTAGAGAGGAAGGGAGAGGGGGAGAGAGATAGAAACATCAGTGATGAGAGAGAATCATTGATTGGCTGCCTCCTGCACGTCCCCTACTGGAGATCGAGCCTGCAACCCAGGCATCTGCCCTTGGCCAGAATTGAACCTGGGACCCTTCAGTCCGCAGGCTGACGCTCTATTCATTGAGCCAAACCAGCTAGGGTTAATTTTTTTTAGCTCTAATCGAATCAGCTTTTATAAACTATATTTCTGTGGTCATGTATTACACATTTTGAAAAATAGAATTTAAAATGTATTTACTGAGAATTCTGTAGAGGAGTTTTATGATTTAAAGACTTCTTCTGTTGTAATTATTATGTTCCATTTGTCATTTAATTTGTATATTTGTACTTTTGTTCTTTTATTGTTAATCAGTTACCTACTATTTTGTTTACTTTTTTAGACATTCAGAATTTTTTATTAATTAGATCTACTTTTTAAGTTTACTTAGATTTGTATTATCTTTATTGTTTGTATTGTGCTTTCTTTTCCTTTTTGTTTCTATTTAGTTCATGAGTTGGGAATTAATTCGTTTTTTAAAATTGATGTGTTCTAGTCTATAAATACTTTTCTAAACACTGCTATAAATGTGTCCCATAGATTGATATGTAATGTTTTAATATCATTATTTCCTTTGTCAAAATTGTAATATTTTGACGGGGGAATTAAAATTTTGTGGTTGGGTGGGTAATGGAGTAGGTGAAGAGAGTCCTAAAAAGGCTTTTTTTTGAATGTTGTCAAATGATCAAAGAAATTTAATGACAGTTTCCTTTTATTGAATATTTACCATGTACCAATCTGGTATAGCCAAGCAGCTTATTTATGTTACCTAATTCAAGCTGTGTAATGTCATTTTGAGGTACATATTTCCCCATTTTCAGAATACTGAATCAGTGGTTTATATCGATTCGTATTTTCCCAAGGCTATGTAACAAGTAAGTTGTTATTATTGAAATTAAATTCCATTTCTGACTCTGTAGCTATGGCTTTTACTTAAGCAGTAATATTGTGAGGTCACAGAGGTATTTAACAGTATGGCATAATCAGTAACTGTTAGTAGCACAGTGTGACTGGAATAAAGTCAGCCCTTAGTAGTATCATTTCTGGCTTGGACAAATAGTTCATCGAGATACTATTAGCTAAAATGGGGAGCGTGAAACAAAGCAAGTTTCTGTAAGATGATGGGTAAGTTTGATGTACCTACTAGGTAGCTACATGGAACTGTCTGGTAGTTAGGTGAATATATGGATCTGGACCTCTGCAGAGTGGAGCTTATAGGTGAAAATTTAAATAATGAGTTTTGAAAGTGGTCAGAATAATGTGAATATTGAGATCAGAACATGAAAAAAACTGAATCTTAAGGTTGAGAGGGAACAAAAAAAATTAGTCAAAATGTTAGGAGGAAGTCTAGGATAAAGTGGTTCACAGGTGCCAAGGGAACTTTCAAGGTAAAGGAGGGTCATTAGTATTAGTGCTCTGAAGAACTAAAGAAAGATAAGAGCGTTCATTTGATTTAATAGTAATTGAAAGGAAAATTAATATCTTAATTGTGGAGTGATGAGGGTTAGGTGAGAAGACAATTGAGGCAGGAATCATTTGGAGATAAAACATTTGGGTATGAAGGTAAAGTGTGATAGGTGGCAGTAGCTAGTGGAAAGTGTGAGGTTGAATTGAGGATGCCTCTCTTGCCCTCTTCCTACTTTCCTCTCTCTCTTTCCTTTTCCCTTCCCTGTATTTATCTGTTTTCTTTGTGTCCTCCCTCTCTTCCTCCTTTTCTTTATTCTACCACTTTCCCTACTTGTTTTCCTCATATGATGTTATGGATTGAGAATTTAACTTTTATTAGCATGAAATCTTGTCTCAGATTTTAGCTATAAATATAAAAACATAGAGATTTAAAAATATTCAGGTATTAGATCAGAATGATATTTTTAAGAGTTTCTTGAATCCAGGATCATAGTCACTTTTATGCCCAGAATTAAACATACTTGTCTAACAAATTTTAATCTTTGAAATAATAATGAAAATAATATAAGCACAATAATAAAACCTATACATATTTAGTCAATTTATACCTCACTAGGGGCCCGATGCATGAAATTCATGCAAGGGGCTTGGCCCTCGCAGCCCCGGCTTCCTCAGCCCTTGCTGCCCGGCTGCCTCGTGGCCCCGCGGCCCCACCCACTGGTCTTTCTGGATGGTCCTTCTGCAGTCCACTCTAATTAGCATGTTAGCTCTTTATTATATAGGATTGGCAAATCTTTGCCAATTTTATAGATAAGGAAACTGAGAGAAGTAAACTTGCTTATTGCTTTATACCTGGCATGGCAATTAGGTTCCAGAATCTATGGTCTTAATACCAGGGCTGTATTCACTCTACTATGCTATAATACTTATTTCATAAATTATAATTTAGAATTAGAAATTCTATTTTGACATTTTAGAGAAATCTTAGCATATGGAATAATGAAGATTAGAAAAAAGTCATTTCTGAGACAGATATATCAAGTAAAAATATGAGTTGAAATTCTAGTTTTCTGTATTTCATTAAATACAGAAATGCGTTATGTGAGAAGCTAGAATGCCTCTCACGTATGGCACATACTATTTTATAAACACAATTGCTATGAAGTAAAAGTATATCTAAGATAACTAAATGATAGCTGTAGGATACCAATCAGAAATTGATAAATTGTTTAGTTTATTAATACCTATTAACCTTATAAATATTTTTCTTCAGGCAAAAATGCAATTTCCATTGTGAGCTGTCTTCCAGAATTTATGGTAGAACTTCGCTGACGTTGCCACTAATGCCAATGTGGAATAAAGGTCTTTATAATTTAGAAATTCAGAACATATAAATAGATTACTTCTAAAAATAATTTACTCTTCTTAAACTTTAAAATGCATAGTATAAATACATGTGTTTGAATTTTTAGAAAGAATTCTAAACACTGCTATAAATGTGTCCCATTGATTGATATGTAATTTTTTAATATCATTATTTCCTTTGTCAAAATTGTAATATTACTATGAAAATAAATTAATATATATAACCTGTTTATTTTGCCCTCATCAATATTTTTGTTTTATTTCATGCTTGGCAATTGGCTTTCCCTTTGTGACCTTTGTATTTGAAATCTAATCACAATCTAATAATGTTTTGTTGGGAAATTAATTACAGAATTGTATTTCAACATTGTTTTTCTTTAAAAACAAGTTGGCATACTGACTGACTTCAATATGAAAAATCTATTGTTGTTGAAAAAGAAATTAACACTGAGACAGTTGGAGTAATTATTTTAAAGTAATTATTCTTCCCCTTTGCTGACTGTATTGTAATAATTGATTTGACTTGGATATGGGTCATCAGGCCATTGAGTTCATGGATGCCTGACTTGTCTTGCTCACTGCTGTCTTCTCAGTGCCTAGTGAGTGCCTGTGCCTGGCACTAGTAAGTATGCTAGAGCTCTTTCTGAACTAACTTGATAGTTAGGTAATATGTTTGAATACTTTCTCTGAGTTAGAAATGCACTTCTAATGATAATATGTTATATGTAAACACTAAGACATTATTATCTTGTTTGCCTGAGTCTCATGTGGAAATACCATGTTAAATTTAGAAACACTAGTTTTAGATTTCAGGTAATGGCCCTTTAGGAATAGTTATAGAATTCTCATTTTCAGTCATTTTGCTTTTACTTCCCTTTCCCTCTCTGTACTCTCTTTTCTTCCCTTCAACCTGTTCGTTATTTTCTCTTCAATCATCTTTTTGTTTGTTTTCCTTCAGTCTCTGGAGTCCATCTTTCTCCAGCTTCTCCTGCGATTATACTAGACCATGACCACTCTTCTCCCACCATTGGCTGCCTCTCTTCTGAGCCCATCATTTCATCACCAGAGATTACACATGCAGACACCACCATTGTCAGTCAAACTGTTCCTAAAGCACAGGTAAGGACAAGCCTATCTTTATAGGAAATCTGCATGCTTTAAAAAAAAATTGTATACTGATTGAATTAACTTTTAAAGATTTTCTGATTCCTTTTCTTAACTTTCTGAAAAATATTTCTGTAGACACTCTAACTTTGAGGCAATATCTAGAATTCTGAATAATATGTTTGTTTTGGGGAACAATTGCAAGGTATTTAAGTAACCTTAGTTACCAAAATATGGTTTGAGTGTCCTGTTATTAAAATTGACTTCGTTTATTTCAAATCTTGAACTTCAAAAGGGAAAATAATTACAAATAAAGAATAATCATTTCTGTTTTCAGGACGCTAATTGTATGTTTTCAGGTATTAGAGTGTTCTTTTCAATTTTATAGTAACATTTTAAAAGATTGCAGTCTTAGAGTTTATTCATTCAAATATTTGTTGACTCAGGCATTGTGCTAGCAGCTAGATGCTGAATTTAATCCAAATTTTCCAGGTGCTATACACAATCTCAAATTATCTGGTATCTTTACTAGGAAGTGATGATTGATTAGAGGTTATTAATAAACTAGAGTCCCGGTGCACGGATTTGTGCACCAGTGGGGTCCCTCAGTGTGGCCTATGGGGATCAGGCCAAAACCAGCAGTGCAATGCTGCCTGCCGCTCCTGCCTACAGCTCCTGTGCATGCCTGCCCCGCTGCGCCTGCCACAGGCTCTCATTGAGTCAGTCCTGATCAGGAGAGGCTTGTGCCGCCACAGTGGCGCTTGCCTGGTGCTCGCTAGCTGTGAGCCCTGTGTTTGGTGCCCCTCTGTCAGCTGAGTGGTGCTCCCACTGTGGGAGCACACTGATCCCCTTCTTTGAGTGTCTGCCCCCTGGTAGCCAGTACATGTCATAGTGACCTGTCGTTTCGTTGTTCAGTTTTTCGGTTGGTTGGTCGCTTAGGCTTTTATATATATATATATCTATACACACACACACACACACACACACATATATTTCAAATTCTGATTTACAATTTAAAATATAAGCAAATTCTGGTGTGTGTAAATTTAAGAACTGATAGCAGATATGCCTCTTCTTAATTATACACTTTCAGACATACGAAAAAGTTTTAAGTTTTTAGTGCTTTGCTTGCAAAATAATAAATGCTTTGAACTCTAAAGTTTAGAGGAAATTTTGTGTCTTACTGCAAAGATCAGGTTGTTGTAATAGTTTGAGGTCTTCTGTTGATTTACTTAAAGGGTGAAATAATTTCGGAACCCTTGCTACAACTTCATTTCCAAATGTGGTTTCTGGTGCCCTTTGGATGTTTTCATTATTGGTACAGTGTAAACTTTTCCCTCTTGTATATTTTTTTTTAATGTGGTTTAGATTCAGCAATCAACACACACTGATCTGGATATCTCACTTTTTCCATTGGGTTTAACTGATGAGAAAAGTAATGGAACAATTGCTCTTGTGGATGATTCTGAGGATCCTGTAGCCAATGTATCAAACATACAGCTTCAGCAGAAAATTTCAAGTTTGGAGATTAAGCTCAAAGTTTCTGAGGAAGAAAAACAGAGAATTAAAAAGGTATATTTACATTTCCCTAAAAACTATTTAAATTATACATTCTGGAAATTTGATAAAATCCCTATGTTTGATTAAAAACTCATCAGGGGAAGAAGACACTGACTGTCTTTTCTTGGCTGTAGGTTTAAACCAGTCATTTGAGTTTATCATTTAGAATTCTTTGATAAGAAATTTCTGGTCTTAAATGTGTACTTTTAAATATATGATCATCTTTTACTAGATGTTTGTTTTCTTTAAATAATGCTTTTTTTCTGGTTTATTTTTATTTATCTTGAAAGTAGGTAGTATTGTGTTTCTTACATAGTTTAGAAGGTTTGTAACATTGTCTTGTTCCTATATAACAGTGGTTCTCAACCTTCTGGCCCTTTAAATACAGTTCCTCATGTTGTGACCCAACCATAAAATTATTTTCATTGCTACTGCATAACTGTAATGTTGCTACTGTTATGAATTGTAATGTAAATATCTGATATGCAGGATGGTCTTAGGCGACCCCTGTGAAAGGGTCGCGACCCACAGGTTGAAAACCACTGCTGTATAAAGTCAGGGATCATGGGATATTTGACAAGAGTACTTACATATGCAGCTATTTTAGTAAATTATTTATTTATGTTCTCATTTCTCTTTCCTTAAAATATCTATAAAAGGGCCTTAGCAAATTTATGAAAGTGTATGTAGATATAGACTGTGTTGATTATAATTGACTTAGGTGCTTTTATTCATTTATTAGCATGAATAATTTTGGTGTTATAGCAATGTTTGGTATTGGTCTGGAAATAAGAGTGAAGCATACAATCTATAATATTGTTAAACTTTAAATCATACTTCCTGTGGGTTTTTTCCTTACCAAACATTTTCTGCTATGTTCATTGAAATAATGAAATATATTTCATGCCATGACATAATTTGTGCCTGGATTTCTCCTTTAGGATGTGGAATCATTGATAGAAAAGCATAGTGTCTTGGAAAAAGATTTCCTTAAAGAAAAAGAGCAAGAGGCCATTTCTTTTCAAGATAGATACAAAGAACTTCAGGTAAACCGCCTGTGCTTACAATTTAATGTGTAACCTTTTGATAAAGCATGTAATGTGATTTCAAATAGTGCTGAATAAATATTTTATGAATGAACAATCAGTCAGTATGTAAAATATTCACCAACATGGATGAAATTAATCATAAATGTAATTTTAAAAAATGTGAATCTGTGAGGGTTAGTTGTTTGAGACACAGTTTGGTGAAAAATACTCTGTTTCTGATGGATAAAATTTGGAATTTGGACATTCTGATTTTTCTTATTTGTGATTATATTTTAAAAGAGTTTAGAATCCTGTAACCTCTGAACTGAGATATTTAATCTTTTTTATATATTGTAATCAATGCCTCCTCGTTGCCTCCTCAAGTTTCCTTAATAAACTTGTTTTTTTTTCTGTTCTTCCCCATCTCAGTAAATGGCAGTGCTCTCTTTCCATTCCCTAAGTCTGAAAACGGCATTTATCCTTTTTTTTTGTACTTACTCATGTCTGTTCCTTCAGGGAAACCTGTTGGCTTTACCTTCAAAATATCCAGGTTTCCACGATTTATCATTATGTTCACTGCTACCAACCTATTCTAGGCCTTCCTTATTTCTAACCAATCTTTATGCTTCTGTCATTGCCTAATTATGGGCTATTCTCCACCTTGCAGCCACTGTGATCTGTTCAATACTTAAGTTGATTTTGTTATTTTTCTGCTCTGAAATCTTTAGTGGCTTCTCATCTCACTCAAAGTAAGTCAAGCGAGTCCTTAAAATGGTTTGCAAGGCCCTATACTCCTCTTTATCCTTTCTCCCTGTCTTTTCCCTGCCTCTTTCTCCTCATTTTGCTTTATCCTTATATCCCTCTATCTCTTAATTTTCTTTTTTATACCATTCAGGTCTCCATGAGACCTTTCCAGACAATGCTGACATCCCCTACCAACCCTCCCATATGATGCTTTTTTCCTCCATAACACTTTTCCATCTGACCAGCTTGTTTATTTGCCTAGATCATTTTTTTAAAAATATATTTTATTGATTTTTTACAGAGAGGAAGGGAGAGGGATAGAGAGTTAGAAACATCCATGAGAGAGAAACATCAACCAGCTGCCTCCTGCACACCCCCTACTGGGGATGTGCCCGCAACCAAGGTACATGCCCTTGACCGGAATCGAACCTGGGACCTTTCAGTCCGCAGGCCGACGCTCTATCCACTGAGCCAAACCGGTCAGGGCTGCCTAGATCATTTTAATAGTCTCCTAAGTGGTCTTCTAGCTTCTGCTCTTGCTCTTCTCCTTAATGAATCTTTATTTCAGCAGATAGAGTAGTGCTTTTTAAAATTTAAGTCAAATCATTTCCCAGACTTAATTCTCATTCTCCTTCCTGTGTAAATCTTTTGGCTTCTCCAACTTTTCCAGTTTACCCCCAGCTATTTACTTACAGCAGGCTTGGTAATAAAGTCCAGGTGAATGTGTGAGCCTGTCTGGGAGGGCATTCCTTGGCTGTTGGAGTGGTGAGTGGAGGGAAATGGTTTATGATTTAGTCACAGTCTCTCTGCCTGGAATGCCTTCCCTCCAGATATCTACATGGCTCTGTTAAAAATTATGTAAAACATGAAAATAAGGAAAAGGCTGAGCAGTGTGTTTTTTCGATGTCTAGGGGGACGTTGTTTAATAGACCTGCCCAAGGATTATTTAGGAGAATGTACTTTATTTGATTCATGGTTTATTGATATTACATGCTAATTATGTTTCTTCCCCAGAGGCAATGCCTGTTTGTTCAAAAAGATAACCCCATGGGACAATCACCAGTTTTGTCTCTAACCTAGCACTCTTTCCTGTTTAACAACCCGTTATTTAAATAATGTAAATATATAAATAAATATCTATAGCTATATATATATATCTTCAGATGCACTTTGAACCCGTCTTAACTTCTGATTTATTGAGTCTTAATAAGTGAGTAGAATAAATCTGGGATGTAAGTTCAGTTGATATTTATATGAGTCACATTTTAAGTCTTTGAAAATTGTATTTTAGTAAGTCTCAGTGAACCTTCAGATGCGTGCTCTTGTGGAGGCTTCCTTGGACCATGCTTTATAAAATGAGAACTGTGTACATGTTCAGCATGCCCTAGCCCCCTTTCTTTGCTTTTTTGCCCCTCATAGCACTTACCTCCACCTGTTATTTTATTTTTATGTGTTTATTTTTTTGTTTTCCCCCCACCAAAGTGTAAACTCCATGAGATTAGGAGCTTTCCTTTCTAGTACCTAGAGCAATACCTGGCATGTAATGTGGGTATAACGGGGCTCAATATTCTTGAATGAGTGTGCACTAATATTGTGCACCCTGTTCTCCAAGGGCTCATCACATTGTGTAAGGTCACATTCACCAGCCCCATACTTGGAATTAAGGTGCTTATTAGAAGCCTCAGTACCTAATACTGACAGAACTTAGTGTTTCTTCTGTCTATGTTGAGTAACTTATTCTGGGCCCTGTAGTGTGACATATACCTTTGAAAATTTAGTTTTTCAGTCTGTTAATGGGAATAATAACATACCTGAGAAATCATCTGGGGCCATACAGTACTTGAGTTTTTCACAGTAAAGACTTAAATAAATGCCAAGGGGCATTATCGTTGTCTTTCTACTTTTACTTTAATAGTGATAGTTTAAGAGTTACAACTTGAGTCTTCAAAACTAACATTCGGTTTAAGAAGCTCTTTCTTATCCAAAGAAACCTTTTTCAGATACTTTTTTTTTCAGCACTTTTACTTTGGCCTCTCTCCCTTTTTATACCATGTGATTAAAAGAATAAATGAACTTATCACCTTGGCTAAGTGATAGAAAATGTACTAGGAGGTCTCATAGCTCAATTGAACTTAAAGGCAAGCATGCTGTTTAGCTGGCACAGGTAACCTCTGGTTTTTGAAAAGTACGCTTTATGTCACTTTGCTTTTATGAAAGATCTACATTAGTACCTGTTTTCCAAAGGATTTTATTTTTTTTTTTAAAAAAGGCAAAAAGTGAAGCTAGTGTTCAATGTTTGTTGTGGTATGATGAGTGATTTTTAATTATATCCTACACATTTGGGGTGTTTTGTGTGACACCTTCTATCTTGTTTAAATGACACCACACAGATTGGGGAAAGGTGGAGGCTACTTTGTTAATGTCAGTTGTTGGGGTGAAATTGCAAGTTTCCCACTCAGCCGCCTTTGACACCCTGGGCAGAAGGGATGCCCTTACTCCAGAGAGAAAGTATAATGTCAGGCCCCATGTAGACTTTAGCTGATACCACCCTGGCCTGGAGGAGGAGAGGTACCTGGTAGCAGTTCCCATGTGCTTGTACTAGCACCATGGAGCCAGGTGGCCTTGCTACTTCTGAGTGGTTGTAAGAGTTCTGGTTCGCCACTCAGCTTCTTCTGACACAGGAAAAGAGGGGAAGATGGAGTCTCCTTACCCGTGGGTGGGGATGCAAGTCTTCAAAACTCCTCCAAACCATAACGTTTTCTTAGTTACCCCCTCCGGGACAGCCAGGGCAGCACTTTATAGCTGGGTGAGGGGGAGGTCTGTGCTCAGCACTCTGGCCTTTGCTCTCAGAGCTGGAAGTGAGCTCATTTTTTTTTTTTAATTTATTTTTTTTAACCATTGGGCCTGGCTTCTTATCTAAAAGTTTTCTGTTCTCCCTCTTTCATGGTCCTTTGGGTGGAGAGGGATGGCATTTCTTGGGGCTGTTTTTGTTAGTGCTCACTGGCATTTCATGGTTGCTGGCCATCCCATTTTCTGAGGCTAAAAGAAAACTCATAGAACTTATCACTATGTCATTCCTTGGGTCCTCAGGTCCCTCGGTGGTCTGCCTTTCCACCACCTTCTGGAATCTTCTTAAATTTGTTTTAACTATACTGTCCAGGCCTTTTAGCTGTACTTCTTGATAAACATAGGGAGGAGTGCATCTACTTCACCTTACTCTGGAAATGGAATAGCAAAGAATATTTAAAAATTTAAATAACCTTTTTTTTGTATCCACAGCAGAAAATTAATTTCAATCTTTAGATAGAATTTTAAAGCAAGTATTTTGAGTAATTTTTTTTAAAGGAACACAGTTTGAAAAATTAATTCATGGAGTCATTGTAGCTATAGGAAGTAAATAAAAATGCAGATAAATTGGGAGATAATCTATAAATCTCAATCTGTATTGTATTTACCTAGTTTGTGTACACATGATATGTGTGTTAGTCTTTCTGGAAATATATTTTCAATAAAAATATTTAAATTGATTCAACAAGAATTTAGAAAATCTTGGGCTTTACTATTTGACCTTCTTTCTATAATCCATTTTTTTTCTGTGGATATAGCCTTCCCCCTGATCCCCCCCAAATTGGTACAAGTTCTATCTAATAATTTCTTAGGGAAAGATGTGATTAAATACATGAGTGTCAAAGGAGGCCATTGTATGTTAAATTTATATATAGGATGAAATATTAGCAAAAGTGAGCTTTTAAATAGTGAATATATATTAAATTTCTTGCTTGAATTAGTGATTTGCCCATCATTCCTCAGATACTTGAAAGTAAATATATTTATCATTTATTTCTTCTGTAGAGTATGGCAATCCATATTTTGTTGTTGTTGTTGATTAAGGTATTACATAAGTGTCCTTATCCCCCCATTGCCCCCCACCCCACCACTCATGCCCTCACCCCCCTGGTGTCTGTGTCCATTGGTTAGGCTTATATGCATGCATACAAGTCCTTTGGTTGATCTCTCCCCCTTACCCCCACCCTCCCCTACCTTCCCTCTGAGGTTTGATGGTCTGATCGATGCTTCTCTGTCTCTGGATCTATTTTTGTTCATCAGTTTATGTTGTTCATTATATTCCATAAATGAGTGAGATCATGTGATATTTATCTTTCTCTAACTGGCTTATTTCGCTTAGCATAGTGCTCTCCAGTTCCATTCATGCTGTTGCAAATGGCAAGAACGCCTTCTTTTTTACCGTAGTGTAGTATTCCATTGTGTAGATG